CCCCCCCCCCCCCCCACCTGCGTAAGGAGAGTGAATTGCGTCCGATTTCTGTCCTTAGGGTCCGGTCGGATGACGTTCGCCGCAAGGATCACCTCTCCTCGCACGTACTCGGTCGATGGCTTGAGAAAGTAGTTAGCAAAACGAGGAGGGAAAAAAATGCACAAAGTTAACAACGAGTTCGCGCGGGAGTGAATCTGTGACGGACGGACGGGGTACTATTGAATAGAGACAAAAAAGCGAAACGACTGAAAAGTGGCGGCGGCATCACACGCTAGCATATCGAAATCGCTGTCAGGTGCAACACTCGTCGGCGGAACGAACAGCGAGGCAACGGTGCAACATCCACAAGCAGAAACGTCAGCAGCAGCGGCATAGCACCAACAACACCAACGGAAACACCGACCGACCACCACGCCGTCACACCCCCCCTCAAAACAAAGACAGCAGCAGCAACATCAAACCACAAGACAGAGAGCCCCACGCACCGGTGCTTCCGGGTGCCTGTACCCTCTGTTGACCACGACGATCGAGCCGTCCTCGAGCCTTCGGACGTTGACCACCGTCACGAAATCCCTGGGCTTCACGAAGGGCAAGGGGGAAGGGCTAGACGCCCAAACTACCTTGGTGTTTTCGTCCAGCAACTCCAGGTCGCGTCCCTCCAAGAACCACCTGGATGAGCCCAGGGTAACCCGGGGTGCGTGCAAGGTGCGCGTGACAAGTGAGGAGGAGATCAAGTCGGTCTGGCACCGGGGTAGCCTTAAGGTAACCCCCACACGCATGACGGACGGAGACTTCAAAATCGCCCACGTGATGAATTTCGAAACCGCTGACGTGAGGAAGTGGCTCGTAGTTAGCCGAAGAATCTCGTACACCATCACCCGGAAGGCTCTGGATCTCACAATACATTTTACCCATGTCAGAGTAACGCTCCTCACGAGCAGGCCCAGAGGATACGGTTAACGATGTCCATCCAAGTGGAAGGACATGGGTAACCGTATCCTCTAATCCCTTCGTGGGTCGCGTTACTCTGACATGGGCAATAGCATGGAGTGATCCCGCGTCTTCTGGGCAACCGTACACAAGTTACTTTGGCTGCGAGTCACTTCGTCACATCAGCGGGGTTTGTGGTCTGTCATCCGAGGGGGGAAACGCTTGGCTACCGGCGGCAGAATGCATTGTGGCAAGGGGGAATCGCGGGCCGGCAGTTTTCCCTGATAGATATTTTGAATCAAGTAAGTTTTGTGTGTAGGTTGTCGCCTCCCCTCCAATAGCTGAGTAGCATCATTGGTTCAGTGGTAGAATGCGTGATTGCCATTCACGCGACCCGTGTTCGATTCACGGATGATGCATAAATTTTAGCCCCCCCCGTTGTAGCACAAGCCAATTCACTTCGTGAACTCGGCAACCAAGTTACCGTTTTTTTTACCTCCGTTTTTTTATTTGGCGGTAACCATAATGGTGGTCGAGTAGATCATGTTGTGCGGGGTCGAGAACCCTCACTCCGCGCGAGGGGGATCATCGCACCACGTTGTGTTTATGGCCAAGCACCATTGAGGCAGTTACACAGCGCTTACAACTGTCTCTGGAAGTGAAAGCACCAGAAAATAAATTAATTCATACGCAGCTGTCATCCGTACGCAAGGAAGTAAGCACAAGATGCCGAAAACCCTTAGCAGGATGCAGCGCACCCCCCATGCGACTCGCCGAATATCTCACGGCGCTTCGCGCTTGGTGATGTGAGAGCCTGGTCCGGTGAGAACCCGGCGTGCTCCGTCCCGGCTTCGTAGGGATGCGAGGTCAATGGCCTAAAGAATACGGCATGCACGACCATGAGTACACCTCCCCCCCCCTTCGACCGACTGGTAAATCCCGACTACGCTTGCATTCAAATTCGCAGCGATGGTGCCGAAAACGGCGGCGTCGCAACTTTATCGTCGAGACCTTACCGATGGAAGAATGATACAAGACTCGGTGCAGGGTGTGTGTTGTGTTCTGGCGCCTGCGGTACACGAGAAATGTGCTCAACACGATGACCATCTCAGCCTAACTGGCCCAAGTGCCACCCCACTGCTGCTGCCGCAGCCTCTCACTTGTTGTACTCCTTGACCCGCTCCGACGACTCCATCAGCTCCGCCACGGCCTCCGCGGGAACGTCCATGGAGCACCACGCACGGATGCACGCGAACTTGCTGCGCAGCAGTAGCAGCAGCAGCATCGGGCGATAGAGAGACAAAAACACGCATTGCGCCGGAAAGTAAATGGCGATCTCTCGGACGATGATTCGGCCAGTCATCGACCGCGCCCGTGACAATGTTGATCCCGAAATACTTCATTCACGCCAAAAAAAAATGTTGTCCCCGAGGTACTTCGAATGAGGCTTTGGTCTTCGCGGTCGGGAAGAGCGTGACCGTCGGTGCCTTGCGATGGGGTGAGATCGATCGCGTGCTCGCCACAAGAAGCGGCAGGTCCAAGGTGAAACTTGTCGGCACCGTCGTCCGCGTAAAACATTTTGACGTTTCAAAGGGGGTTCCAAAGGAGGCGCACCGGAATACTTGGTTTCATGCCATAGTTTTTGCCCAAATTCGCGGAAAGTACCCGCAGGGAAGGCGCGGGGAGTGAAACATCAGATAGCGGGGAGCAAGGGACGGCGAACCAGCGGCACGATCAGTGGATACCGCATGAGTAAGCAAGTGCCCATCCAGTCTTTCAAACGTTGACCACTTTCGCCTCCGGAGCATCTGCCTGAGATTCTCGTCCGGCCAGAAACTTCAACGCCCCGTCCTCGTTTCGCATTGCATGAACTACCCGACAGGGCAAGTTTATCTGTCGCTGTAACGGACGGACGTCCGCTCCTGCCGAGCCGCGCATTCCAGGGTAAACCACGTCAGCCGCATTTCCAATGGTTATTTGATCCACATCCACACCTTCCTCCGGCGTTTTTCCCGATGAATTTTCGCTCAACCGAGAGAGCACCGTTTCTTGTGCTCACGACGCGCTCCCACCCACCCTCCTCCGCATCCTGCAGATACACACGTCAAAACAAGAAAAATAGACACTTCACCGAAACAACAAAAAACGAATAAACCAGAGGATACAAGGGTGGACAGGGGGGATCCACAAAGAAAAAAAAAACATCGCTTGACGTGTAACGCAAGGTATCGCGGAGTAACAACTTTGACGCAGCCGACGAGATGGCTCTAGCAACAAGAACGAGCGGGGGGGGACGCAACCGGACTAGTTAGAACGTCGAACAACTCAAAATGGCGGTAAGACCACCATGAAGAGAAATATATCTACAACCAGCGCAAACAAGAGCCACACACCATCTAGGAGGAGCTCCAGGACCCTATGGAACGTTAAGGCACCCGAAGCTGCAACAGCAACAACAGCAACGACGCCAAAAACAACCACACCTCTAGGATGAGCTCTAGCGCCCTTCGGAAACTGTCCTCGTTGGCAACGGACGCGTCTATTTTCGCCTTCTTCCTCATCAATAACTCGTCGTACAGTTTGGCCAGAATCTGCGAAAACAACAGGGATCAGACGGCGCTCTTGATCAGGTAGGGGAGTAGTAGCACACCACCTCCATCGACGGCAACATGTAGTGAAATATTCATCCGATGGGATGGCGCGGGGGCCACAAACATCGTAGTAGCCCGGTTGGACGCAGGCTGCGTTGACTCGCGGGCAGAGCCGGAGGGGCAGCCGCAGGGGTCATCGAAAGAGGTGGGGCAGGCGACGACCATGTACGAACCGTAATGCCTACCCAGGCATTCCGCGGTGACCCGATAAAACGGTTTCATGAAAAGAGGACTGTTGCAAAAGTTTACCCCGGGAGAAACAACATACCAACCCCACAACAGTACGATGCGTGCCACCTTCTCAAAACGAGAACGGAAATCCCAGGCTCGGGTACCGATAGGTCGCCGAGGTCTCTACCTACCCACCTTGGAATCGATCGTTACTGCGCGCATTCTCTCTGCCATGTCCTGTTGTCGTTTCGTGAGCTGCTCCCTCAGCACCGCCTGTCTCTCGAACCACTCCTCGCGGACGCCCTTTATCTGTTTGTCCAACGCCGCTCGCCGGAGGTGTCCCTAGACGGGGGAGAATTTCGCGACGTTGTTGGTCGCATTGAGACTGCTATTTAGTGCTTGAAATAAGTCAGGGTCAACCTCAGACCCGAATCCCACAGTATGTTAGGAGCCTCATTCACAGCGGCACCAGCTGCGCATTTTCCGCTCTGAACAAGTTGAGAGAACACAGCAAGTAAAAGCTTGCTTTCATGCCGACCGCAGTGCCACTTGTGGCTGAAGGACATTGAGGGGCGAGGCATCAGGTACCCTCGCCAACAAAAACAAATCCAGAAACCTCGTTGGTTTTGACAGACCATGCCACGTTGAACGGTTTCACTCCCTGGACAGCAGAGGAACAACGGCCTATCGTTGGTACAACGGACCACGACACTCTCGGCTTCCCGTGTCTCAGGGATAGTGGATGTCTAAAGCTTCCTTTCGATACCCATCGTAAAAAACAATCACTTTTCGACAAAAGCCATGCGTACTACCTCTGCCGTCGTAACGACCGCGGCCATTTGCCCTTCCCTCATCTTCGAGAGCCTAGCTTCCAGCCGCCGTTCCTCTGCAGCTGCCTGCAGGCGAAGCGCGCGTGAAAGAATGAACTTCGTCAAGGAAACGACTCCGAGATGCCTGGAGTCGTGAGCTTGTTCGAATTCGGCGAGCGTAGGCCGAACATGCTGCACACAAGTGGGGGCGTAGCGTGCTCCTTGGCGGCAATGCTGCCACCCACAAGGGGTGCCACATCGGTCAACGAAGAATGCCTGAAAAAAGACAATTCTGCACGCAACACGCAGCAAATACACGAAAACCAACCACATAGCACCCACGCTACATCAGCGCTCGGCATCAATCACACAACGCGCAGCATACAGCCCAAAGCACACGGTACACGATAGCCGTGGCTCTCGCTCCCCCACCTGAGCCGCCCACTTCGCCAACAGCCCGTTCGCCCTGGCCACGTGCCAGCTCAGCTCGCGTTGATTCCTCTTGAGCATCCCTCTCAGCCTCTCCGCCGCTTCCTCCGCGTGGATCTATCCACGAACAGACGGCACCCACGACGCTCAAACATGAGCAACAAACGTCTGACACAATCATCAACCCCGTGGTCTCGAGGATCGCCTGGAGGCGATGGAGCGTCTTCGCAGACGGCGGGCTGCAACGAGACCACCGTAGAAGGCGAGCAAAATCCCACACATACCGGGGGACCCGTCTTCAAAGCTCGTTCACACCACGTCGAACAGGATGCCACAACAAAGTGATAACTTTTTCGGAAAGCCCTCGACCGGGCGGTTCAATCGCCACAAGGTTTGGCATCGTATCTTGTTTCGCCGTGGTGTACTTTAGCTAGGCTTTGGAGATCGGTCCAGGGGGAGGGGCGCCGTCCGCGAACTACGGTATAACGATGGAAAGTTCGTCGTCGTGCCGCCTTTTGCTTCAAGAAGCAGACGCCGCATGAATCGAAGGGCGTTGGCCATCGAACTGCATGGCCTTCTTTTACGCATACACCCCCGGCCATCGAGGTCGCCCCCCCCCCCCCCCCCCCCCCCCCCCCCCCCCCCCCCCCCCCCC